CATACCAACAAAGATGTTGTGTCCACCGAGAACTAAAAAAAATAAATATTAAAAATTCTCTCTCTCTCTCTCTCTCTCTCCTCTCTCACTCTAAAAAAAAATATATATACACATACACTTCAGGAATCCCAGGACGAGAACTAAAACCACTGAACAAATTTGGTAATTCACAGTATTATTAAGACAGTTAGTAAAATTATTTATCATCTGTCAAAATTTAAATAAATTAAATACTCCAAGAAAAATTAAAATCTGCAAAAGCTATGGCCCAATTATTGAAGTGAATAACAGTATGTTTTAGAGTGCTAAGGGTATGAGAGAAAAGAATCCATCCCCTTGTTCTTGGAACATTTTATTTCAATCAATATAGACTTAAAGATATAAAATTTTGCCTGTGAATGAATACCTTCACATACTCTASCACAAACTAGTTACGGATCTGCAGTTTTTAGGATCAATATATAAAGGAAAAACATAGGTCAAATATAGAACTTCAAAATAATAAACATCTATTAATACTGATTATATAAATTAATAGCATAATTTATAGAAGTCAGGAGGTAAAAGGTCATAATAAGTTGGAAAGGAAGCCAGAGTTGTTGACCATTTCTTCAACTGGTAGGGAGTCATGAGACTGTTTATTGATGGACTGAGAAATCAAGATTATTAAAGGTATAAAGGAAACCAAAAAAAAAAAAAAAGAATCAAAAACGTAACTAATAGTAAGGAGAAATAAAGATAAATTGCTTACCATCACAGCAAACAATCAACAGACACTTTTAAATGATAAATTAAGGAACAGCAGCAACAAACATGCTGTTAGCTCTGAGAAAGGGATTGGTAAGGACAGCAGAAAGGAACTCTTTCTTACTTTTTATTTTCTCTCTGAATTGTTTAAAATTTTTACTCAGGTACATGCACTAAAGTTAAAATTGTTTTTAATCCTCAAAAACATCAGATCCAGTAGGCTCAGAAAGGAATTATAGTTGACAGTCTGTATAGGCAGATCCCAGGAAATTACAAAAAGCAGGTATAATCACTGAAAAAAGATTTAAAGTAAAGGCAGTTAAGCTTATTCAGCACTTCTAGAAGCAAAAGAGATAACAATATAAGTCTATAAGTTATGACTCATAAACATAGAGGACAAAAAAATGTTGAGAATTCTCCATTTAAGGTGAAGGACTAAACTTTAAAACTATTCTCATCCAAAGTGAAATAATATCTTAAAGTATTTCAGATTCTAGAAAATTCAATTTTGGATAAATAAATGTCATTATATATAATTATGGATAATACCTTTAAAAATAATATTAAATAAGCTATCATTAAAATCATTATGATAATTAAAAGAATGATACTAGGGTTATAATCTTTTAATAAAATCTTTACATTCTGAAACTTATTCAGTTCATACAATATACCAGTTCATAAATACACTTGACATAGCAAACAAAAGGAAGAAAACAGAGTCTCCCTGGAAAACATTTCAAAGTACTTTCCTCTGTTTACTCATGACATATACCTGCCACATATTATTTTGGTATTCTAAACTGTTATACAAAGCTTTAAAAAATGAAAATTTCATAAAAAAAATAATTATCATTTTTAGTGGGATTTCAAAGTAAATAAAAAGGTGTTCTGTTCACCAATGTATATTGCATAGAGATAGTTAAATACTTTTAATGTTTAGAAAAACATTAGGAAGCCAGTTTTTAATGCCTGCTAAATCTTAAAGCTGAGAATTCAAATTTTATTTATAAATCTAAAATTATACATTCTGTAGGTATAAAAGTTTAAAAAAATACATTCCAATTTAATTTTAAAAAGCCTTCTAAATCAACATTTCAAACACTACTATGATTACTATAAAACTGGTTTGTAGATACACTTAGCCAAAATAAGTTAACTTCTAAAAATCAATAACATATATGGTGGCAAGACGATTTCATTAGAAACAAATGGGGGTAATTATAAAGTCAATATTATAAGTTTATTATTACAAATAAATACTTAAAACATTACAGAATACAAAAATGCACAGAATAGGTGAAGATTTTTCTTAATTTGTCACTAATACAGAAATCTGAGCACTTAATCCCTCAAGAAGCTGAAAGACTCAATTGAAAAGGTGACTTCACAAAGGATATTGTGACCATCTATGAATCAAAAGAGGAAAGTCTATTATTTCTATTCAGGTGCTTCTAAAATGTTTTTAATTCAAGTGTTTTTATGTAATCCCTCCTTGAAGAACTTAAATGTCCTTTCCCTGAAAGACATTTTTTAACTAATAATTTTGGCCTCACAACATATATATCTCAAAAAATACATGTGATTCTACTGTCAACCACTTCCCCCAAACTAATACCTACACATATAAGTTCTTATAGGTATATACACATTTTCAGGATTATAAAAATATTTTTGTAAGCTTAAATAATTACTGAATGTTAATACAGATACATTAATATTTGTTTAATTTTATTTATAAAAAGGTTTTATACATAGCAGCATTTGCATTGCAAATGAAATGTGAACAAATGATGTTACAGTGTACAAGATTCTTACTGTAAATCAGACTGAGCAGCTGCATGTTCCTCTAAAAGGAACATCTGCCCCAACTACAGAGGAGTAATTCCTATATAGTACAAAAACCTTGAGGAGCTAATAACCTACATGATTTTATAAGTGCATTTGAAAATTACCTCCATATAACTGAAAAGGTTTATTAAAATATCCAAAAAAATCCAAGTTATCTTTATCCCCAGAAATTTTCTAAAGAGATAAAGCAAAAATATATTTCCCCCCAAAATTATGCAATCATAATTACATTCAAAATTAATGGAATCTTACAATCAAGTGAAATACAGTCTATGAAATGGTATTTATGAATACAGACAATCAGATAACATTCTTAAATATAATTAAAGATATAATTAAATCTTAAATAAACTGAATGATATTGTTGGCTAAGATTTCTTTCCCTTGTAGCTTTTCAAAAAATTTAAAATGTGGTCCAAGAACATTTAATATGCCTTTTCTTAGTTGTGTCATACTCAATGGGCATCCTTTCAAAGAAAAATCAGTTAAACTGCCAAAGAAAATGCATTTCACAAATTTACCTTCAGAGCTTTACAACAATGATTATTGCTTTAAAATAAACTTCACTGATCAAAATTACTTCAGTAATTTCCTAAAGGAATTGGGATATAACCAGTTTTCTTGGATTTGGTTTAATGCTGCAAATGAACTCAGTATGCATTTCATGTTAGGTCATGCCTTTTCACCTTCATGGTCTTGGATTAAATCATGAATAGTATTTTCCCTTATTCTTTAATTATACTTAAGAATATTATCTGATTGTCCTTATTCATAAATACCATTCCATATTCTATATCTTGCTTGACTGTAAGATTCCATCAATTTTGAATATAATTATGATTGTATAATATTTTGAGGGAAAATAAAACCTACCACATTAGTTAAAACTAAAATGAGAAAACACAGCATATAGAAATGTTGGTCCTTGAGGTTTGATTTCCTTTTTTCCTACCAGTTTCATCTTTTAGAGAAATACTGAAATTATAGAATAAAGGGGTATGATGGAAAGAGCACTAAATGTTAGTTTAGCAACTAGCTCTTATAAATAATGGGAAGATCTGACCAAAAAAAATGTCAAGAGAGATATATTATAAATAGAGGAAACTCACCTAAAATGCCTTTCAAATTATGCTTGCATGTGTTCTTTTAAAATATTTTAGGAATCAAATAATTAGATATGTGATACATCTAGGTTGATAAAAATGAGTCATAACTACTGCAGTTGTATACAGTGTGATATGGGAGAAAACTGACTGAATTCAATGAAGGAATACTAATCTTATTTAAAATATTATTAAATTCTTACTTCTTCCCCCCCAAAAAAAGATTATATTAATGAAGTATCTTTAATTGAATCACATGAACTTATTAGATATTATTCAAAGGTTTTAAGAGTAAAAAATATTTAAAAAACAACACTGTGAGGTATAAGAACATGAAAAGAACTCATTTGAAACTTTAAGACATTATTAAAAGCCAAATCAAACCTTTCAATCTTAAACACTCATATTAAGCTTGTTTTTGTTGAGCTCACGCTCCAGATTGCCAATCAAAGTATCAATGCTTTCTTGTAGATCTTTGAGATTAACTTTTCGATCCACTGTAGACTCAATTGTCTGCATTGTCAAGTATGTCTGGAATGCGCACTCTTTGGACATAGGAAGTGGCTGTTCAATCATTATTTCTGGCCCATTCATTTTGCTATAATCTTCTCCATTTTCTCTGTCTTCTGAAGGTACATCATCATAATCCACATCATTTAAATTTTCTTTTGTATTTAAAGAGTAGTTTTCTCCACAGCTGCTCCAGACTCCTGCGTAACGATTGCTAAGTGGACTGTCTAATCTGGTCTGCCTTGGTCTAAGTACTCCTGATGAATCAATACTATTCAAATTTAACATGTGAGGTCGTTCTTTCTTCCGCCTCAAATAATTCAGAGAGGACAACTGCTCTGGGAACATACTGTCTGTTGATTCTCTGACAGCTAAACGTTGCACTAGAAATGAACAATAAATTTGTTTTAGTGACAGCAATCCAACTGGTCTTAAAAAAACAGAGCTAAATAAAGATAAGCCATTTAATAATCAACTAAAAACATGCATTAAAACAAAAACATGCACACTATCAAAAGTAAGCATTCCATAATTATTTTTTTCTATCATCAGACATCATCAAGATTAGGAACAGAAGCTAGTGGAATGTTCGGTGGTGCTAATTCATGCTATATCATAATGTCCTCAAATAAATTTCCAATGTTGATTAACTTTTGGTGCAAGTTAATTATTATCTAGCTATAACTCAAACAGTAGCTAAGCTGGCAGCTTCTAAATTAAAGGCTACAGCAAAAAGCAGGCAAGGCAAGTGGGTGTACAAACAAAACAAAACAAAAAGTTCCTTTGTCTGCAAACATAATGACGCAAGGCATCTAAAGTGTTTACTCTAAAAGTCCTGACTTTAGTGGGCTCTTCCGAAATTAGCAACAGTGTCATAATTTACTAAGCAGCCCAAAATTTGCTTTGATAAAATGCAGGAATACTAGACTTGACCATTTGTTACCTGAGTTCGATTATACAGCATTAGCTACTAACAGTCTTCCTTTATTGCCTGGAAATAGTACAAATATTTTCATTTTTCCCATTCTGGTTAGATATTTAGCAACCCCAAATAACATTCCTCTTTCTAAGACTATTTTTTTAATATATATTTTTTTAGTTGTAGATGGACACAATATCTTTATTTTATTTATTTTTATGTAGTGCTGAGGAGCAAACCCAGTGCCTCACATGCACTAGGCAAGCGCTCTACCCTGAGCCACAACCCCAGCCCCTGATTATTTTCTTTTGAGATAAGACGTATCATATCTTCTGGTATCATACTGGCCACATAGAAGATCACTATAGATACACACATTATTTAACAACAAATCAAGGCTTCGTTGCTTACTCATATATACTACACAAAATATACGTCTAAGGCTCTTCTGTATATAAAATTGACTTAATTTATAAGACTGAGACATAGCTACTAAAGATTATCCATACTTTCTTTTTTCTGTTTGTTTATTTTATTAATATCTGCTTCTCCTTATATACTTCCTTAAGATAAAGAGCATGTAAATCAGTGATAACATACCAATCCTACAACATATAATCATGCTTGTTTACTATTGTACAAAATAAGAAAAACTATACAAACATATATGGTTCTGGTTTTCCAGACTTATAGTGATATAATATTTTTCAGATAGCACATAATATTTTACTTACATTCTATTAGGATACTTAATTGTGTGTCATGTTTTAAAAATTTCGATGTATTGCAATTTTTTGTTGTTTTTGGCAGTATTGGGCACTGAACCCAGAGACTTGCACATGCTAGACAACTACTGTACTACTGAGTTACATCCCCAGTCCTATATACTTCGTTTTTATGACAATTATTATTATATATTATTCATAGATAACTAAGTTCTTGATAAAAATTTTCAAGAAAATAAAGGTGAGACATTTACTTTAAGTGATCTTTCATGTAAGTATCAATATAAAATGTTCCATGCCATTAATTGACTCAAATGCAGAAAGGCTATCTAAATTTTTCCACTGTTTGATTATTCATATTCCTTTTTCTCCTCAGGCTGCTTATCTCCACTGTCTCCTTTTTTCCCCTTTCTCTGTGTTCTACCTGTTCTTAGTGTTGAACTGCTATGACTGTTGCTTTTGCCACCAAATTAACAGAACACTGCTAACCTTGGGGTTATCTGGTCTGATCCAACCACACATCTTTTTATTCTTGTGTCTTAAGCTTTCATTATGCCTGTATTTTCTGACATTCATCTGCAAAATCCAGATTTCTTTTGTTGCCAGTCTCTTAAAGCTGTTTTTAGCCAAGATGCTATTCCAACATTATCTCTGCATACTGAATAGTATTTAGGAAACCAATTAAATCAATATTTTATATCTTTTAGACTAAAAWTTCAATTTCTAAAAAATCAATGGCATTGCTTTTTTTAAAGTGATGATGCTAGAATGTTTTCTTTGTTGATACAAAGAAAATGGCTAATTTTAACCCTAAAAGAAAAGTTCTCACTTTCTTATTACTGTTGACTACTCACTTTCAATGGAATGAAATAAGAAATGCAGTCTAATAAGGTTGCTGAAAAAACTTCAAAATGAAATGACTAATTACTTAAGAAACTTAATTTGTTTTTATTCACCATGTTATTCAAAATGAAATGACCAAGTACTTAAGTACTGGGATTGTGGCTCAGTGGCAGAGCACATGCCTCACACATATGAGGCACTGGGTTCAATTCTCAGCACCACACAAAAATAAAAACAATTAAAATAAAGGTATTGAGTCCATCTACAACTAAAAAMATATTTWAAAAAAAGATCAAAGATAAATGCCATGTTAACCTGGGATAATCTGAAAAACAATCATGAATACAGTAAAGATGTCAGGAAGACGAATGAATGGATTTAAGAAGAAAAAATAAATTTTGCTTCATAACAGTTGAACTTAAAATGAGAAGAGTAAATAAATTAACATTAAGTATTATGTGCCAAAAGCTGTCCTCATATAAAGTCTATAACAAAAGATGATAATACTGATGTTAAGGTCAAAGTGCTAATAAGTGGCACAACCAGGATTCAGATCCAGATCTGACCAAATCCAAAATGTGTACACTGTCCCACATGTTTACAATATTATCAGAAAAGGCACAAAATATACATAGAAAAATCTGAAGGAGAGGTATCAATTTATAAATATATTAAAAAGCAAAGCTAAAAAATATTATCTTCAATCATACATGGGAATATTTAATGATTAGCTAATTCACCCCCATCATTGAAAAATAAGAATATTTCCATAGAATCATTTACCTGGCCAGAGTTGGAGTAAATAATGAAGAACTTCAATATGTTTTTTAAAATTCAAAGCACTTGCAAGTTCTTCTGAATCAGTAAAGACTCTGTTGTTATGGGTGGAAGTCTCTTGCCTCTGACTTAATAATACTGGTCCGAAGCACACTGCCAAATTCTGGCAGGTCATCTTATTTACTTCATGATGAGAAGCTACCAATTTCAAATGATCCAACAACATCTTTAGGGTTGCCTAAATTAAATCAAATTAAATTTCACTTAATATATTCATATAGACACAAATCCAAGGATACAATTTACGGCAAAATATAGGTATGCATCTTGTCACTTTTAAAAGTTTGTTTCAAAGGTTTATTCGTAAGTTGGATATCAGGAACCTGAACATGTTTTCTAACAGAAACATTACAAAGGGTCCAGATAATATTCTAACAACATGATTTAATCCATTAAATGATTCTAATAATACTCCATAAAATGCTTATGAATGTATTCCAAATTTCAACTGGAGTCCCTGGGATAATGCATCATCAACTCTTCCTCTCTACCTTCTCTAAAAGATAACAGCAAAAGGTATAATGGAAAGGAAAGTTCATTTTTAAAGTATAGATAAATCCTATAGTTATAAATACAGGCCTACCATACTTAAGAAGCTTTACTATTTCAGAGCATAGCCAGATTCTACCATGATGCAGATTTTTTAAAGATCAATGTGTTTCTTAACTAATAAATATTAAGCAGATAAAAGATGGAAAAAGGAAAGTTAAAAGTAAAATAAAAATTTACAGGAAAAAAATATTTTAATCCTTAAGGAAATGCATAAATAGAACTGGGTCAAGAAGTGGAATATTTATTTGAGTTTATGTACTTRGGGAAAGTAATAATGTTTTTGAAGTATTACAAAATCAGTTGTAATTTCTTATAAATTACATTGAAAAAATGACTAGGTTCAAAACATAAACATTATATAAAGTAAAATTGTGATAAATTAGGTCACATCCACTCAAAGAGATAGTATGCAGCCTCTTTAGAAAGGATGGTAATAGCATGGGTAAATTCATGCAACAGACTAAAAACAATCACTAAATTATGTAATTTTGGTCATGTGATTTAAATTCCTGACACTCATTTCTTCACTCAAAAGTGGCATTTATAATTTTACCTAATGTTAGGAGGGATTATTTCCACCTCTTCAATTGTCTCCTCCTGCTACACCCCAACCTCAGCTTCTGCACTCTTTAGAGGTTCCTCTCCCTCATCCAAAGGAGGAGTGTATTGGAGAGAACACTGGACATTTCTGGGACAAATAACTAGTGAATAAAGTTACTGGGCTCAAAGTTTCTACCCACTCATCTTGCACTTTCTACCCCTATACAATAAGAAATGCAAACAAAGCTGGCCTCCTCTGGTCAAGCCCAACCACATCTTTTTCTCATTTTCCCTTTATTCTTAGTAATAGCCTCTAAAGTCAGGCTTAGGCTGGTTCTGCAGACCAGTCAGTCATCCTTCTGTGCCTCCTGCAAGTAAACCTGAAGATGCTGGTGTTGAGATTAGATGTGGGAGAAGAGTAAATGGCAAGAGGCAAGGAGAAAAGAAGCAGAGGTGTGGGCAGGGTGCATAAGTCTTAAGACTAAGCCATATACACAAAAATGGTTGTCAAATTTAAAAAATACTAAAAGAAAACACATCAAAATATCAGTTATATTTGCCTTTGGATATTGGTAATTTTACATTTTTCTATATTTTCTCAGATAAATGTATTATTTTAATAATAAGATAACAATACATTTTAAAAGCTTAAAAGGCATATTCATGCCTAGGTTAAAGTCAAATACAGAAACTGTAAAACTGATTTCCAGATTTATGCTGTTTAAAAAACAATAAAGACAGAGCTTAAATACTTAACTGCCACAAATATTAAAGACGTGAAAATGTAGTTCTTAGAGCTAAGCACATAATTCATTAGCTGAATTTGGGAAAAATGCATACCAATTACATTACCTTCTCAACACCTGGCAGACAATTCAACAGGTCAACAGTGAACTTAGAATCACCTGGGTCATTTTCACAACCATTTGATGACATTTTCAAAGGACTTTTTACCATTGCAACTAATACAGCCTCATAAAGCTGCTTTGTTATCAGAGGAGAGGGAAGTTCTCTTAAATAATCCTTGAGAACACCTTTAAAAAAACAAATCAGAGAAAGTTGTGATTGGTCTTCAGAGTGAAATAAAGAACTATGTTTTTGTTTTTAAATATTAAGTATTATCATAGCCAACTTTTAATATTCCAAAAATAAAAGCAACATTAAAAAGCACTATAACAAAACTCTAGCATTTTGTATTTTTTAAGTTATCTTGGTAATTTAGTTTTGAAAACATACTAAAAACGCACACAAATTTCCAACTACCATACATATTAGGTTTATGAATCATAATGAGCTACCTGATACACATGTCCTATTGATTCTGCCCTTCTATAAAAGGCTCCTCAAAGTGAATGTAAAACAGAAGAAAGGCATATTAATTGATGTTAGTTGTAAATAATTATTCCAACTATGTAAATTTTGAGTTTCCCAGACTTTTATTAATAGTGAAAGAGTACCAATGGTCCAAAGTCCCTGCAAATAAATATATAATTGCACTTCCTTTCTAATTCTGGAGATGGGCTTTAAACAGATATACTAGATGGTTGAATAATCTATAATGTTACACTATCATATGAAAGAAAAAAAATCACTCCTGAAACCAAACAAATGAAACCAAAAGCCAAGAAAAGAAAACATCAGACATCACTATAGGAGTAAGGGAAGTCAATTTCAAACACACCTCAAGCGGTTTTGAACTACCTATAGTWGAGGAAACAGTAAAGTCATAGTTGTTACATCTAAGCAAAGTAAGACACTAGAAAAAACTGAAATGTCATCAAAAGGGAAAACAAGATATTTCTGATTGCCAAAACCTAAAAATATACAATATTGATTTAGAACATGCTCTCAAATTAGCTGAAAACTTAGTCTAAAAGATTAGCTTGAATTAAAAAGCATCATATAGGAAGCTTTCTATTTCATAATTTAAAAAATTTTAATAGTAACATGGTTCATACATTTCTTATGCATCATTCAAATATTTGTTTCTCTCCCTTTATTACATAAAAGATAGCATATATCTCCCATTCTGTTTCTTACTTTTTCATTTAATACCATAACCTTGAGATCTTCTCAGTACATAGACAGCTTTCTCAATCATTTTTGTAGCCACATGATAGCACTCCAATGGATGGGTGTACCAGTTTAATCTGTTCACTCCCCTATACATGGGTATTTTGATTCTTCCTAATCTTTTATTTCAAGATATACTGCAATGAAAAATCTTGCACATCACAACTTTGGGTAAATGCAGGTATGTCTATAGCATAAATTGCCTGAAGGGGGAATGTTAAAYCAAAAATGCATTTGTAATTATGAGGGAAAGGGAAAAAAGAATGTTTCTTTCCTGTTTGGGGCTTGAGTATACAGCTGGATATGACTTGACATAGAAAACAAAGGAGGAAAACTATGTTTTCGGAGGTAGAGAGAAGAGTTTTATTTTGAACATACTGAGCTTAAATTATTTATGGGACATTTGAGGTTGCTGAATATAAAAATGTGAGGCTAAGGAAAGAGATGAATGGAGACACAGATCTGAGAAAGATCATTTTAAAGGCGATAATGACTGAGATTATCAAAGAGGCATGGGTGATAAGAGGTAGTGCAGAAAATAACCCTGAAGAACATCAATTTTTCAGGGAACAAGATTTTTGAATGGTAACTAAGGAAGAATGGGAAAGAAGCATGTGTGGTGAGAAGCAGCAGTGATGGGGATGGGAGAAGAATGGGAAATATGCTGCCAAGCAAGTCAAGGAAAAAATGTTTCAAGAAAGAGTTTAAGCTATCAAATGAAACCCAAGAAAAATTAGGCTAAATAAAAAACAGCATTAAATTATGTGAAATATAGTATTCTTAGCCCTACCAAATCATAATCTCTAGGGGCCAGGTCTCAAGCACCTGTATTTTTAACAAATTTATCTTATGATTCTATGCAACTAATTATTTTTTTAACTAACTACAGAAAACAATGATCTGGAGATAATTTTGAGAAGAGCAAAAAAAGGAAGTGAGGCAACCATGGCAATTGGTTTCAGGAGAATAAAGGACTCTGGAGTCAGGCAGTTGGTGAAAAAATAAATGGGCATAAAAGAAACAAATACAGATCACCAGTTTAAGAAGTCTGGCTTTGAGAGAAAGTGATAACCACAGAGGAGAGGAAGGATAGGGAGAAGCAGGATCAAAGTAGAGATTTTCCTTGAAAGACTAACAACATTTGAATATTTCAACACTAATGGTAAAGAAGACATCAAAAAGGGTTTTAAGACTCAGGAGAGAGGGAATAAAATCAATTGAGCAAAGCTCCCAAAGAGGAAAGAAAAGATTATTGACAACAGATGTAGGAATTAAAATTAGTCCAAGATGTAAGGAAGATTATGTCTACACTACTGCAAAAAGGAAACTGGGAAGTAGAAAGTATGTATGCCAAAGAATGCTCACTGATAGACTGGTTCACAAAAGTAGAGGAATTTCCCAGCAGAAGGCTTTTATTTTCTCTGTGAATTAGGAGGCAAGATCATCAACCAAGTGACATGGGTGAAAGAGGTTTAAGGAGAGTGAGAAGACACTAAGCAGATAGTCTAGAGAATAAGAGAGAAAAGGCTGATAAGAAAACACAATTACTAGCAAGCACCACTAAGGACCAAGTTAATCTTGAAATCTACAGGTTTATTCAAGAACCAAAATATACTCTTGYATAATTCTTTTCTCCTAACAATCAGGAACCCAGATACAGGCTAAAAAAGCATGCAATGACTGAAWACAACAGACAAACATATGGGAGGAGTAGGGGAGAGGGACTATGTCCGAAACATTGGACATGAAGTAAAGAACAGTGATTCATGAGCAATGGGAACTAAATGAGGTAAGCCCTTAAGTTCTCCAATTTACTTTCTGAAGGGACTTTTCAGGTTGCAGAAGGGAACAGAAATCTGGCTAAAGTTCAACAGTGAGGCTAAGCTGAGATGAAGCTAGAAATCCAAGGAGGACAACATAGCTAGAGCTTTCAGGACAGAGTACTAGAGGTCTGGAGGCTATCCATAAAGAACTCTGGAAATTTGCAAGGATCCTTGTGAATCTTCATCTGAGTACTGATAAGCACACACACAGGAGGCAACTATACAAAGCTGGGGAGAGAACCATCCAAAAGGATTAGAGAGAACAATTCAGGAAGAGAACCACCCAAAAGGATTAGAGAAAAGCAATAGCTCCTGTTCTGTGCTGCCAGAGTGAAAAATGTCATCATTTATTGAATTTGGATACAGTACTGTTTGGGATTGAATTGTCCCTCCTCTCCCTACCCCAAATAAAGGTTTACTGAAATATGAACCCCTAGTACCTCAGAATGTGGCCTTACTTGGAATAAATTATTTATAGAAGTAATAAAGTTAAATGAGCTCATTAGAGTAGGCCCTAATCCAATATATATGTCCTTGTAAAAAGGGAGACAGACACACACAGAGGAAAAATGAAATGAAGAAATACAGGAATAATACCATATGAAAATGGAATATTGTTTATACATCAACAAGACAAAGAATCCCAAAGATTGCTAACAAACCACCAGAAACTAAAAGAAACAAGGAAAAATTCCTTTACAGGAATCCAAGAGAGCAGGGTACTACTGATACTTTAATTTTCGATTTGTAATATCCAAAACTGTGAGAAAATAAATTTCTATTGTTTTATTTTATCATCATCATCACCACCACCATCAACATATTTTTTGGCACTACTAGGGACCTGAACTCAGAGGTGCTCTACCACTGAGCCACAACCCCCCTCCTATTATTATTATTATTATTTTTAATCTTGTGAAGTTGCCAAAACTGGCCGCATATTTGTAATCCTTCTTGCCTCTGCCTCCTGAATAGCTGGGATTATAGGTATATGTCACCATATGTGGCAAATTTCTATCGTTTTAGCCACTTTTGTTATAGCAGCCCACAGGAAACTAATACAACCACATAGAAGATTTTTAATTTAATAATGAATCAAAGAAATAGACAAAAAGGAGACTTATTTAGAAGCTACTCTCAGTCTACCTAGAAAAACTGAGAAGATAAAACTCTGTGAATAAATTAATTGCATACCAGAACACAGAGTATTYATAGGAATATAAAAATATCCAGCATCCAAGAAGGTAAAATTTTCATCTAGCATCCAATAAAAAAATTATCATGCACAGAAAAGAGGCAAATATAATCTATGATTAGGAGAAAAATCAACTTAAACCAATCAGAAAAGACAAAGCTGAAAGAATTAGCAGATAAGTATAATAAAAAGTTATTAAAACTATTCCATATGTTCAAGAAGCTAGAATACTAGAATAAAGATTGAACATGTTAAGTGAAGACTTGGAAAGTTATACACACACACACACACACACACACACACACACACATACACGTGCATATATACGCACATCCCAAACAAACTTTTAGTAGTAAAAACTAGACATCTGAGGTTTAAAATGCAATAACATCAGAAGACTAGTGAAAATCTAGCAATAGAAACAATCCAAATTAAAATACGAGGGCATGAAAAAGTAAATCATCAGTGAGCTGTGGAATAATTTCAAGTGGCCTTATATATACATAATTGGAATCTTTAAAGAAAAGGAAATGGCAGGGAGTGGTAGATAGGAAGGAAAAAATAATTTCAATAATAAACAGATAAAAATCACATTATAGTTGAAGATTTCAGTTCCACTATTAGCAACAGAAAGAAAACAAAGACATAGAAGACTGTGACAAGATTATTAGTCAACTTGACTTTATTGGTAATTACAGCACTCTTCATCCCTAACCACTAGAATACACATCCTTTAGATGAACTCAAAAAGGAACATTTACCACCAAAAAAAAGAAAAGAAACTCCCCCAAACTAAAAACAAACAAAAAAATAAATAAAACCACACCAGACTTTAAAATAAATCTCAATAAATATAAAAGCATTTGAGTCTATGAAGTATAGTCTATGATTATAATGGAATTAAATGAGAAATCTATATTAGAAAAATATCTGGAATATTCAT